TGATTTTTATGTGTGGACCTAATATAAGCACTACCAAAAATAAGCCCTAATTAAGACTCTGTCCCTCAGTCCCACAGCCTGGTATGAGGTAGAGTGAATCGCGTAAAAATTAAGCTGTGATGGGGGGATGGAGCTGCCCTAACACCCGCACCCACTTACCTTAGGACCGCCACAGCCAGGTTTCTCATGCCCTGACACCTGTCACACTGCTGCCTGACTTCTGCAACCACTCACAGCCAGACACTATGTGGCACATCACATTGTTGCCACCACTCACGGCAGGAGACAGCATGACACACAATTATCAACTTGCTATTTTTTATACATAAAACACCAAATCCACATCAAAAATACCTCACAAGTCACTGGTGAAGAAGAAAGGAATAAGATACAGCTGGAGGGAACAACTGATAAGGAAGAGTTTCATGCTCAGTTAATATTAAAATACTAAAAGTGAACTAAGTCACCTTTATGGAGATATATGATAAATACTACAAGGGGAGGACATTGATCAGCTATTGCCCGTGGGACCTTTATGTAGCCCATACAAAAGGCAAAATGGCATAAAGGCAGGCAAAATGCTATCTCCTACCATAGATGAAGTAATCAATATAGTATAATGAATAGCTATATAAAATCCTTGTCAACAGGAGTGGTTAACCTATAATGCACTCATTGGTGACCTTAGCCATCAACATAAAGCTCCCTCTTTGTTTAAATTGACCTTTTGTGAAGCACTGGACTAGCACTTTCAAAAGAGAAGTCCACAGAGAGTTAAAGGGTTCAGGTGAGATCTGACAAATGTTTTGGAAAGTTTTGGAGAGACATTACTTGGACAGATACTTCTGTGGAAATCGGGCCTCTAACTTTTCTAAATGGGCCTGAAAGTCAGTGCCTAGTATCGGGGGGGGGGGGGGGGGGGAATCTTCAGCAGCCTAAAGTGACTTGTTAGAACTAAGCACATCCCAACTCAATAATTAACCAAGAACTCATCACATTATTGAGAAAGCATACTAGATCACTTTCATGGGAAAATGAGGGGAAAAGAGCAAAACAATATTTTAAAATTTGACCAGTTGAAGATAACTAAAGCGTCTATAAGTTGTGGGTCAGAAATGAAATACAGTAAAGACAGTGACAGAAAGATCTGACAAAAACTATCTGGAAATATTGTATTTGCATCAGTTAAGCAGGCATAAAGATAAGTCCTTGGTATGTACAGTATACAAACTGAATTTACTGATTTTATGACCATTTTTCATAATGAACATTTGGCAAACATCATGGTCATTAAGTGAATGCCAGAGTCATTGGTTATTTTGAGGTGCTTTTAGAAGCTGTTTTCACTGCTAAATTTCTGTGTTAAAAGTGCCATAATTCCTTTCTGGAAGAGTTATCTCTCTGGAGTAAAAGTCACATGTGAGAAACTGGCTACTCCTGCAATAGAAATGCTGTGTCTGACGCATTTCTCTGGACAATAAATTTCACTGATGTGTCAGGGAGACGGGGCTGCGTGGCAAAAAGCGATTTTAACTCATTGAACTCTTCTCTTTCTGTCCAAACTTCACTTTCTTTTTCAGCAGCCAGAGGCTTAACCTTATGTGCAAAGTTGGAATAAACTTCCTATGAAAGTTTGCAAAGCTTAGGAAATGCTAAACTACTTGTCCACTATGGGTAGATGGCTGGGAGAGCACTTGCATGCACCTTCTGGGGATCTATTTGGATTGCATCTGTGGAAACGCAATAACGCAGCAAAACTAACTCTGACCACAACTGAGGCCAAAACTTTTGCTGCTCAGTAAGTAAATGAATTTTATGAATTTGCCACAATTAGGTGATTCAGTGTAGCTATTAAATTACTAACAGTTGTTAAATGAATCTGGCTTGTCCATTTACTTTACTCATCAGGTCACAAAACATGATCTCAATAAATATAAATCAATTGCCAAGCATCCAAATTTTGATCACATGATCATGGGGATGCTACAATGGTCATAAGCATGAAAACTGGTCATAAATCATTTTCAGTGCTGTTGTTACTTTGATCACTAAACAAATGGTTGTAAGTTGAGGACTACCTATATGCTCTGGTATTTGCCATGGTACAGATGGCTTATGGAAGTTGAGAGGAAATTTTACCACCTTACACTGCCAGATTGCTCTCTCAAGCCTGATTGTTTTCTTCTTTGGATGCACTTCTTTTGTTACTAAAGACAACCACTTCACCGATTATGCTGGTAAAGCTATTCAGTAACTTTGTATTATTAAGTCTTTGTACCTATGTTTCAAGTTCCCTCTGGTATTGCTTATGAAAAGTTTCTTTCAGTTGCTGGGACTGCTACTTTCCATGTCTTATTGGAAGAATTCATTCTGGATGGTTCCGAATGCACAACTAGTTGCTACGTATGCTTTTCTTAGTTTTCTGACTCAACAATTACTGCGCACATGAAAGGCCATTATGGTACCCAAGCTATTGAAGACTGGCTTGCTCCTGAAGCCCTTTGTGGAAACCTCCAAGGCCAAGGACTCCCAAAAGGATAGTGGTATCTCCCTGCCATCTTCGTTAATCCATGGGAAGGGGAAATGAAATAACTACCAGTTTCTATCTTTACAGAAACAAGCACAATCATTCTGGAAGGTAGCAGTCTGAGATCCCTTTAAGTGACCAGAAACATCCATTTCAGATAAAAGAATTTATACTTCTTATAAATTCCCCTATAAAGATGATCAAATCTGAGGGGGTTCATTCTAGATTTTGATGATTCTGCAAAGCCACTGTCCTTCTCAAAAAGAACCAAATGGTCAAATTGTTACCTGGAGTTGTAGGATTCATTCTTAGATTTTTAATAAAGGTGGTATTAGTATTTAGCAGGAATGTTCAGAAAATCATCTTTTCATTTTAGCCAAAACCATTTATTTCTTTTATATGCAAATATTAGCTTTTTCAGAAACGAAACAAATAAGGAGCATAGTCTGAAGTCCTTGTGTATTGCAAATATTAAACAAAACAAGCCTAATGGGAAAGCGGAAGAGGCAACATATTTTAATTGTGTCTATCTTGTTTACTTAATGTTTTATTGTTTTATCAGTTACTTTTTGCACATCGCATATACAGAATATTATGTAGCATTTGTTTCTTTATTTCTGTACCCCGTATAAAGACCAGACCTTCCTTAGTAAATGCTTTTTGCTTTGTCTGACAATAAAACTCTTTTGCATAGCTAAAAGTGTCTTTCTCAGGGATCAAGTTCTTACCAGGTTCAAGCCAAATGTGGGTGCTATGTTTAATGGCAACAGAATTAACTCATTTCTAGCTAATATTCTGAAACAGAACAGCAATATTTCAGAAAAATAAAAACTGCAGGGAGGTTTCCTTAGAAAAGTATTTTAACAGTATGCAAAGAACTATAATTAACTATTTTGAACTATGTTCATAATAAACGTTTTTACTGAAAAAAGAAATTGGTAAATGTTCTGCATTTGTAGTTATTATGCAATATTATGATCTTAACATTTAAAATGGCCCTAAACCACAAATATGTATTTTTCTTTATTCAGCATTTTCACTTAGGTC